TTGAGAGTCTAAATGGGATCAGAACAAATAAATCTACTGAGATAGATTACATTAATCCCCGAGTTCTGAGAAAATCCGAGAAAAGTATTGCTGAGACACTGATAATTGATGTTTATGAGTCAATGGACCGTAGAGAGATATCCCTCTATTGGGAGTAAGCTAGTTCTGTGCACAGTTACAAAGAGTGTGACAAAACAGACTGGCAAACAGCAACTGATTAGCTTTACTTATATTCCTTGTAAAAATAATGGGATAGATTGTCAAGCATAGCTTTGAGGATCGTTAGTACGTCATGACCCAATTACCCACCCTAGTTTACAAAATGCCTTTGATAAAGTTTCACATAAAAGGCTACTAATTGAATTCAAACGAGACAATTCAGGTTGTAAGCATTATTCAGGCTTATCATTTGCTTTGCCATGTAAATTACAAGGGAACGTATTCATGACTCACTCAAAAGGTGGTTATAATTAATGGCGTTAGTGTTTATTTGTACCCAGTATTACAAAATTAAAATATACAGATTAAACAGGTTGAACAAATGAAAAAAGAAACTATAGAAAATGATTACAGATTTAATAGATTGAGAAAGATGAGGGAAATAAAAGTACAGATTGCTTTGTTGCAGTATTCCCAGCAAATAATATTTCAATATCAGGCAAGAAAATTCTCAAATGTTTCCAGTAAGCTAGACATTGGATATTGTTTGTTGATTCTGCTTTCAATGCTAGTCAGTATTCTGCCTCTTTACTGCAACAGTGGTCTCCAGTGTGTTCAATCTTTTATACCTGTTTTGAAGGGATGGATATAGGTTATAACATTGATGGAACTTCTGTAAATCTATGAATCTGCTCTTACAATATGATTGGGCATTGTGATTTTGAGTCCTTTGTTTAAATCAGAGTTTGAACCCAGCCAGAAGCTGTCCATGTTTCTTCAGGCTTTCTTTCAGTAATTTCCCATCAAAAGGAGCCCCTTGTGGACAACCTTAATGGTAGAGGTTTCTGTATTTATAGCTGCCCCATCTTTTCTAATTTGTACAGTGTCCAAAGGTTATCCAAATACCAATGTGTCTTTTTCACCCAGCCCCTCTCTTTCTTTTTCTTTCTGCTAGCATTTGTTTAGTTTTGCCAGCCTAGCAAGTTTAATTTTAAAAGACTAAAAAAATAAGCATTTTTTTCCATCAGCAGCATTTGCAGCTTTCCACATTTCTCAGGTTGAATGTCAGGCTAAAGAATATGTCAACAGAAGAAAAATAGAGAGGATGCTAGAAATATGAAACAAAAATAAGTAATACTGGAAATATGCGGCATGTCTGGCATCTATGGAGAGAGAAACTGAGCTAACTGACACATTTAAAATCCAGTCAGAAACCACATTTAAAAATGATTGTCTGACAGCTCCCGTCCTGCAGCTCCTGACGTGCTAAGAGCCCTATAGTCTGGTATTACAGGCAAGTCAACAAGGAAGGCAGCCATGTATCCTGGACCAAAGTAAGTCAAAGGTATTAGGCCAGAAAGGTTTAACCAGTTAGGGAAGGGTTTGGAGAGCATGCAGGAGGAAGGAAGGGGGTTTTCTATCCCTTGGAGTGTGCCCCCAATGCGCAAAGGGCATCCTCGAAGATAGTATCTCATTTCCCACCATCTTTTTAAAAACCCTTTAAAAGAAACTCACTGCCCTCTCCTCCCTGACATCCCATGACAACAAGCTTATTTGATTACAGTGCCTCTCCACCCTTGATATTATGGGAGTGAGCTTGGGGGTGAGAAGATGGTGACACAGGCACCAATCCTATTTCACGTACAACATTTTATAAACTTCTATAAAACTACCTTTCTTCTAAACTTGATAAAAACATGCCCAAGTTGTCCAATCTTTCCTCATTAGGCAATCCACGAATTCAAAGTATCAATCCAATAAACCAGAGATAGTAGGAACTCCAGATGCTGGAGAATCTGAGATAACACGGTGTAGAGCTGAATGAACACAGCAGGCCAAGCAGCATCATAGGAGCAAGAAGGCTGACGTTTCGGGCCTA